GTCCTCGCTCGCTTAATTGCTGCTCGTTCTGGACATGGAGACTTTACGGCTTACCATCTTCGCTACTTTCACTTCGACTCGGTACTTGAGTCAGGGAATTGTAAGTGTAAGAAGGCTAAGACCCAGTTCCACCTACTCTTCTGCAAGCTAGCAAACAACAAAGACCCTAAGCTTTTAGCTAAGGCCAAGAAGAACCCCCAGCTGCTCTTTGGACATCATTGCGAGAAGCTTTTTAGCCTGGTCTACTTTAAGACCAAATTCTACACCAAAATCTGTCTCTAGTTAGACACGCCTCCTTTTCTTTCCCTTCTCGTTTAATTATATATCTTCTTTGTCTTACCCTGGTTCTAAAACTAATTAAGGATAAGGGCTGTTCCGAAAGTGGAACTTCTCTTTAAATTGTCTATTGTAAATTAGCTCATTCGTCTACACCCCCTGTAGCCTAGGGCACCCCCCTAGCGTCATTTACCCTATTTTGGGACTCTTCTAGGACCTAGCCCACGCGAGCTAGAATCCGCCTGACGTTAAATAGTAATAAATAAATATATAAATAAATAAGTATTACTCTATCAGAAATAAGTAAAAAGTATTAATTATTCTAGACTATTTGTATAATTGATTTAGTTATATAAGGTCTTTAGGATAATATCTTTATAACTTAGGTATAGTGTATAGAGTAGTACTCATCTCTCGTACCTAGGGTAGACAGATAGACAGACATATAATTGAATGAAACTCATATAGTCATACTATATTGAATATCCTAGTACGACTATCAAATCATAGAAAAGTGCTCAAGGGACTAATAATCAACCACATGGTACCAAGATCTCAAGATCCATTCATCCACATCACACTTGCATCACATACTCTTGATCTTCAATTCAATTCAATTCAATTCAATTCAGCTAGGTCTTTTTCATTTCCATTCCCATGCATTCATTTCACCTCACCCACACTACCAAGTATCTAGCAGGGTGCGTGAATGAAAACATCATTTAGTTCTCAATATGCCATGCCCGACCAGACCGGAACCAGACCAGATCAGCACCAGAACCAGGAAAAAAACCAACCCATCTGAATCCCATTTTTTTTCTCAACTCCCTTCCTTTCATACAAATGCCCATCCCATCCCATTCATTGCATCGCATTCCAATAACCCCAAATTCAAATCATTCATTCTTTTTGAAGTCCTCCCCCCTAAACTTTCCCTCCAGACCCAATGGTCGCGGAGAGAGAAGAAAAATAAGAGGACTAAAAAGCAAAATACAGAATTAAAGGCCACCGAAAAATTTCCCCCACCCAACCCCCAAACTTTCCCCACCAAAGAGTCGTGCGTTCGTGGTCGAAAAAACAAAAAAAAGGTGGAACTTTTTTTTCTGAGAAAAATGCTGCGTATGGCGAACATGGGGAGAAGGAAAGAGAAGAAGAAAAAAAACCTAGTTGAAAACATGGGCATCCCAGGCTGAAGCGGCAGAAAAGAAGAAAAGAGGAACAAATTACAGACTTAAGCGTAAACCCATGCCCCGCCTGCCAAATACGTCATTAATGAATGTGCTTATGACCAGATGATGTGATCAGAAATTTTGCTTCCAGTTTTCAGCGTCTTCTTGGCATCAGTGAGCTAAGAAGAGAGAGGACTTGGAAAACAATTGTTGAATTTGATGTAGTAACACAGATTTGGTACAAATTACACCCCGTGTAGGTGACAATTTTCCAAGGACGTGAAGCTACTTCAAAGTAGACGAAAGATTAGTGTCCGTAATTGCCACCCCATCCACGCTGCTGACTGTTGGCATAATAGTTGCCGCCGAAAGCTTGATAACCTCCATATTGGCTGTTTTGGTGACCTTGACCAGCAGCTTGGTGAGCTCCCGCTCCTCCGAGACCTGCATATTGGCTTCCGGTTTGGCTACCATGTAGACCATGAGCTTGTTGTTGAAGGTGTGCAGGATAGCCTCCATATCCACCTTGTTGGGATTGTGGCGGAGGAAGTGCTGATCCTGGAGCTGCATTGGTGGCAGATCCTGGGCGACCAGCTTGTGCTAGTGAAGGACTTGGACCATTTGTTGGCTTGGACTCCCCAAAAGGTTTCAATTCGTCGCCAGCACCTTGTTGGCTACCTTGAGTTGCATTGTAGTGCTGTTGGTTTTGTCCTTGGTATGATGAGCCACGACCAAAGGCATCATGTGCTGCGCCGCCAAAGGCACCGCTACCACTAAGGCCTTGAGGTGTCTGAGATGGCTGAGCGGAACCAGCTCTACCATATTCCCCCAACGCACCACCCAAAGCCGCACTATCACGGCCATGTAGAGAGGAAGCTCCAAATCCAGCTGCTGCAGGAGAGGATGCATGTTGATCATACGGAGCTCCTGGGGACATACCGTATCCTTGGTAGGGCTGGTGTAGTCCACCTTTGGCCCCATAGGGACCAGCTGGGTAGTTGCCGCCTGGGTAGTTTGGATATTGATTCATGTACGAGGTGTAGGAGGGGTAGTTGTAGTATGGGTGGCCATATGGATAGTTTTGACCTTGAGGTTGTTGTGAGTGACCAGGCTGTGGTTGAGCTCCTTGGCTTGTGGTAGATTGCTGTGACTGGGCAGTGGGGTTTGGAGTGGTATGACCACTATTTTGTCCTTCACCAGCAGTTGCATATCGCGACTGAGCTGGTTGGGCAGCACTTTGTGGAAATTGTGAGGAAGCTTCGCTTTGGGGACCGCCATAGCCACTATAAGATCGTTGAGAGGCAGGTACTTCTTGTTGGCCTTGACCACCGTGCTGCAATGCGTATTGTTGTTGATTATAATAGTTGTAGGCATTGCGACCTTGGTCTGAAGTATAGTATGAGGAGTATTCATTAGGTGCGGAAGAGAAGGCTCCAGACTGAGGCTGCTGCTGTGGTTGTGATTGGGATTGTTGACTTGGATATCCTTCAAATGGACTCTGTGTTGATGGAGCTTGTTGACTAAAAGCATCGTATGGCTTTTGGAGTACTGATGATGGTTCTTGAGCTCCAGATTGCGCAAATCTACCATATTGGCCAAATTGAGCATTGGCCTGAGGACCTTGCTGAGATGGTACCTGAGCATTTGGTAGAGATTGTGGGCTTGGTAAACCTGGTGCAGCCGTAGGTTGAGTTGCTGCTGGTAGACCTGCGGATTGTTTTGGTGTTGGAAAACTCTCCGGGGCAGCAGCTGGCTGTTGCGTGACAGGAGCAGGGGGAAGCGAAGCTCTTGGGGCCACTGGCGAATGTTGAGGTGGTTGACCACGAGTTTCGGGCTCCTCTCGGTCACCATCAACATCCTCATCTCCAGTGCCATTCAGATTGAATGCACCAAACTGAACAGCAGCTCGATCAACCTCACGATTTCCTGGCATGCGCACAGCCTCCTCTTGATCAAGCACTCTGCGTTGATAACTTGGAGTACGTCCAGATGAGCCAGTTGCCTTTAAAGCTGAAGCCTGGAAACCGCTGGTTGGTGGTCTGATGGCCTGAGCCTGTCCTTGTAGATTAGTGTATGGTGTAGATGTAGCAGTGTTGCGTGGATCCCAAGAACTAGCAGCTGTGCTTGCAGCAGTAGCGGTTGGGGCGGGAGCGGAGGTATCTGGGACTTGTTCAAGGTTGTCTTCTGTAAGTTCATCTTTTGATGGTGTAATCACGGATTCGGGTTCTTCAATAGTAGTTGGGACAGCAGGGGATTCTTCAATTGGCTCGATAGGAACGGGTTCAGAGGGAGTGACGACTTCTGGCTCATTGGATGGGACCTCCACTGGCTCTTGTGGTTTGACGGGTTCCGGGGCAGGTCTAAAGTGAAAAAGTCAGTTAAAACTAGCTTTTAATCACCAGTCAGGGGAACATACTTCTCCACAGGCTCGGGGGCCTTCTTTGGAACAGGAGCAGGTGCGAAAATACTGGCCCAACTCTTCTTCACGCCATCTGGAATAATGCTTGAAGCTGGAGCAGCAGGTGCCGCAGCAGTTGTGGTAGCACCAGCAGAAGTGTCCCAACTGTTTTCCTCAGTGGTTGTCTCTACAGCCTTTGACGAAGTGTCCCATGCAGGTGTTTCAGCGGTATCCCAAGCATTTGACTCAACAGGAGGGGTAGACTCAACGACATTCTCCTTGCGTGCTCCATTGGTGTGTGCGACGGAAGCTCCACGACCCTTTCCAGCTCTGCCTCGCTCTGTGCCACGGCCACGGCCTCCTCTGCCACTGTCAAAACCACCTCGTCCACCGCGCGCAGTTCTTGTCTGGTTAGCTACATCACCAAATACAGCACCTTCCTTAGCCTTTGATCGAGAGCGGTCTTTCTTGGTCTTTGAAACTTCGCCCCACTGTGAAATTGTGCCTGCGTGTCCAAGTTAGTAGAGTATTATGAGAGAGTGCATCGTTGGCATAGAGGGTTGAATACGTACCATCAGTTATGCGACCAACGGTATTCTCCAGATCGCCATCTGTCTCTTGCAGAGCAAAGACTATATCCTCATCGGTCCAGTCGGGGAACATTTCCTTGATGGTGGTGACCTTGCTGCCATATTGTCTCTTCAGTTGACCAACCTCGCCTTCATCTTCAATTGCGGCTGGAGCTGTGTTGTCTGTGCCATTCGTTGGATGTGGTCTGCCACCGCGTCCTCCTCTCAACGAGAAACCACCTCGACCACGAGCTGAACCTCTTCCACGCGGTGCGACAGGTCTGGATTGCACCTCAGACATTGTGCTGGATGATTGTTGTGAAGTCGAATCAATGCGGGCGGGGATGAAATTGCGACAGAGACGGTAATGTGCGTGGTGGTGGTGATGGGGGGTGTTATGGTGTTGATGATTTGATTTGACTTGAGGTGGTTTGGGGAGGATGATGGGTTCCTTAGCGCAGGTGGGCTGCAGGGCCTTGCTGAGCTCTCCTGAATCGCGTCTAACTGCTGGTACCTAGACGCGGTAGACAGCGACAATTGAAAATACCAGAATCACTTCTTTGCACTATCATGCACTCTCATGCACTATCAGGGCACAGTAAATAGTAGTTAAGTTAGGGCTAGGATTTATGGTTAAGGTTGTGTTTTCAGCCTTCAGGCCTCACTCAACATCACTAGGAGACACATCAACTCCTCAAGTGGTTGGTTGTCTCTCCATTTCTTTGGGCCCTCAAAGCTCCCACCATCTATGCCAAGGCCAGCTCCACTTTTACATCAGCTCACGTGCCATTGTTGCCTCAATGCTGGGGCCTTAATGTAAGGCACCAAGCGCTGGAGGGTTTGAGTGGAGACTGGCTTGAGTGGGGCACTGTGAACTGGGAACTGTTCAGCCTTGAGCATCCCCCACCCTTCATAGCTAGCCCAATGTGGAAATATCAACACTTCAAACCAATATATCACCATCATCCCACATCCGAGTTCCTTGCTCGGTTTAAAATTGTCCCTCTGTCTTCCTCCACTCCTCCCCAGTGCTTAGTATCCTTTGCTCGCCCCCCCTTCCTCAACGCAGCCCTCCATACCGAGGGCTATTGGCCCATCTCTCCCCAAAATGTTTCGCCCCTCTCAGGCTCTACTGTACCAACAGAAACGCAGCCTGCTTAGCATACACCAGCCACTACCTTTAAGTGACAAAGACGCACACAAACTCCTTGGCCTCCTCAAAACATCTTTTCGAAAACATCTCGACTCGGAACATGGCCCGCCCAAGTCTGCAATGGCTGGGACGAGTGCAAAGTCAGGCACCCCTCACATGCAAGGCAGTCGTCACACGACGCAGCATTTTCAATCCATCCTCACAAACCCCCTGATAGCAAAGCCTCAGGTCACTCGCGGTCGCCCGCTGCCAATGGACATATTTACGCACGCCGTGGCAAAAGGAATGATGACACTCGAGTCGGCAACAAACTGTCTTTGGATGGAGCAGAAAAGAATTCGGGCGGCTCCTTTTGCAAACGTTCGAGAAGGAATGAAAATTTCTGGTGCTGGTCTTGTGGTATTGAAGTGGGTCATGTCCAACGGTTGGGCAGAGGACCTTTCCTTTCTTGCGAATGAAAGGTTCACAGGGATATTCATGTATTTCCTAGTTGCCGAAGGGTTACAAGACGTACTGGTAAGAGAACTCTTTTGCTTTTGTAACTTCACAGTCTACCCAACCGTAAACTTGTAATGCCGCTTTCGGCAATCCGAGACTCTATTGCCCCACGAAATATCGGTGGAGGGTTTTGCTGACTTGGGTTTCCAATTCTAGTGGAAATGGATGATGAAGTATCTGACTTCAAACTTGGAGAAGATACAAACAGAACTACGCCAAAGAGGGATGAGTGGGTCCTTGAACGTGGTTTTCAAATCCTTTCTACGGCAACTTTCAAAGGCAGAAACACGAGATAGTGTGTGCCTTGATAATGCCTACCTCCAGCTTGGCAGAGCCTGTACTATCCTTGAAGACCTTGGCTTCCAAAACGACGATAGAGATGTGTTGATAGCACATGCTCAAAAATATCTCGTTGGGGCGACGATTGAGGGTCACTCCGTCCGTCCACAAGCTTCTGAGAAAGCTTATGCAACACTACTTGATACTCTGCCAGGCAAACTCATGTTTCATGTGGGCAGTGAAATTCAAATGGCACATCTTCTCCTTCTACATCCTACTCAGCCATCAGTAGAATCTGCGCTAGATGTACTCTCTAGCTGGCATGAGTTGCAAGAGAAGGCGACAGTCTCTACCCCAGACCTTAGGGGCTCTAACCAGCTTGATATACCGGCCGGAACCATCAGAGGTGTCTCCTCTACTACTATGGGCATCAATCTCGGTTTCGACGCCACCAAATTTTTGCTTGATAAAGATAGAATTGCAGAAGCAGATTGGGTCATGAAATTTCTTCGAGAGACCTTCCCCAAAGAACTTGGGGAGGCGAGACAAAAGGAGCTTGACGTAGCAGCGGCCGAGGCATCAAGTCTTGAATTTCTCGATTCTCTTCGTCTGACTTAAAAAATGAAGTCGACTGTTTTATTTGATTGGAATTATGGCGTACAGGTATGCAGAAACATAGCAAGGCGTTGGTTGGTATCTGATTAGCCTGTGTATTGGCATCAAAGTGTATCTTGGTAGAAGAGTACGGGAATTGGTAACGAAGGATTCTAGCTCAAACATTGTTCCACGTGGTCATTGGTTGATTTCCCACCTCCGCATTCCAATGCCTTTAGCTGCAGCAAACGCCAGCTCGGCCAGTCACGTTTGTCTTTGTCAATGTGGCACAGAGCAAACTTTGGAACCTTCGAGGTTCCGTTCCGTGTCGTGTGGTGTGGGGTGGATTCTTACCTCAGCTACCCCCTGTTCTCGTACCTTGATCTCCACAAGCGTCATTTTCCAACCTCCCATCATCATCCATTTCCAACATCACTTCTTCTTTTCTATCGCATCCCATCAATTGCATCGGCGCATACTATCCGAATTCATTTCTGAGGTCGCGAGCCTTTCATACATACAACACCTCATATCTTTTACCTTCTTCATCATCACGTTCACGACCGAGCTCAGCTCACGTACGTCATACGGGATCAACATGTCCGGACAGGTAGAAACAGGAGACAAAGGTACGACAGTCATCTTTACAGGACGAGTTCCTATCATATATTGGAGAACCCAATGGCTATGATTCCTCCTTTCAATGAATACTATCTGCTTCAATCGCACTGTTTGAGCTCGACTTTTTTAACTCCGAAACACGCCCATCATAGGCGTCTTGGAGTTCGGAACTCGTACCCCGCTCTCGACGTCCATCTCAGCCCCAAATTGCTAACAGATTTTCAAATAGTTTCTTGGAAATGGGGCGGTGGAAACCCTTCAGGAACGGCCGCTGAAGTCAAGCCTGACAAGGTTTCCATTACTACTAAACGCGGAAACGAGGTCACCAGGAATGGTGAAGAGGGCAATCCTGCGGTTCACATCGAGCGCAGTGGCAATGATGTCGTCAAGAAGGCTAGCGAATTGACGGTCGAGAGGAAAGGTTCCGGCTCAGGATCGAACAAGCAGAATGGAACTTCCAAGGAGAAGAAGGAAGAAAAGGCCGACGAGAAGGCAGAGAAGAAGAAAGAAGAAGAGAAAGAAAAGGCTGCTGAAGCTAAGGAGGACAAGTCGGAGGAGAAGAAAGACGAGGCTAAGGCCGATACCAATGGAAAGGAAGCTCAACCAGGCGAGAAGCGCAAGGCTGACAAGAAAGCCGACGCTGCTGCCGAGAAGAAGCAAGAGAACGGCGATAGTAAGAAGAAGCAAAAGACCGATGCCAATGGCACGGCTGTATCGACCAATGGTGCCGGCGAGAAGAAGAAGCCTGGTCGACCAAAATGTCAAGGTGGTGCGGCGAAGAAGGAGAAGAAGGAACCTGCAGTTGGAAAGGCGCAACGAAAGACTCGTAGTCAAGGCGCCGCTTAAAAACATGTGTGTTTGGTGATTTCTTTGTACTGGCGATTGTTTTTCTTGGTCTTGGTTGGGGTTGTTGACTTGGCTAAGTCGGTTTGGTACACACGGCACATTGGATCGGAAAAGGGGCCGGGCTGGGTTGGGCTGGTATCATGGTAGGAGGTGGTGATCTTAAATTGTTTGTATATAATTTTATATTTTGTCTTGGATTAAAAATGGTGCTCAGTAATTCATTCATTCATTCATTCATTCTCACTGCCTCTATTCATTGCTAATAAGATATGATATGCATCTGGGAATAAGTACTGGCTCGTTGGAAATTACTTCAAGTCTACCTGCCATTCTTTTCTTCTCTTTTCTTGTACAGACATTCTTGTTCTAATAACTTATAACTTCTACTTGACATATCGAATTTGCAATATGGTATCAGTTGCCTTCAGCGAGCTTTCAACTGAAGATCCAGCAACTCCATTCGTGCTAGAGAGATTTCATGCAAAGAACCAACCACTTCACATCCTATCATTAACCTTAGATGCAATTCTTCCCTTATTCTACCTACATGCACCAGATATTGATGGTTTATTATATGATTTGGACAACCTAGATATTGGTACCTTGGCTCCCGGTGGACAAGAAAAGTGGCAGATCTCTTTTATCTTATCCTAACTTAACTGAAAACAATTATATTATGTTATTTATTTGGAATAATTAAAGTGATTTATCGAAAACGATAGCACAAAGAAGGTAATTATTTTAGATATCTTAAACATTTTAGTAATTGGAATCAACTTACGCTAACAGTTAAAAAATGAATCTCTGCTATTTTTGTTGTCCACCAGGAGCTGAGGAGCTTGGGAATTTCTCCACCTCTCTTCCCATTATTTGGTTGCATCTCACCAACACCAACCAACCAAACAATCTTCATCGAACGACTGCATGCATGAGAACATGCATATACTTGGTCACCAACCACTTAGTGCAACCTAACGAGCCTCTTTTGCGACGGACAAATCAAATTTTAATTTTTAGGAAGTTGTGATGCGCGCTGCACCTTGCCGCTCGTATTACTTTTGTGTATAAGATGTGCGCTCGTTAGTTGCGGGCTGCGCGGCCAGCCGCAAGGCAACAGCATTTACTTGTACAGTACGTACAGTACAAGTAGAAAAGGAGGATTTCCTGGAACTTGTTTTATCCTTATCGAAAACGATCCTCGCTTTTGGGTATTTCAACTGTTGATTCTGAGGATATAGACCGAGTTTTGATCAACCGTATATAAACATGTCTTCAAACGATGACTTCATCCATATCTCCACTTCTTCTACTCCTCCCACCCCTGGACAAACATCATCCGGTTCAGAAACCACGGATGCCTTCTTCAAAAACACACATGGAAAAAGAGTGTTTACAGAAGGCGTGATTGCCGAATCTCTTCGTTCCCAATATCCACATCACCATCTCACAATCACACCCGTGTATTCGTGCGATCTCCTGGCATTCGCCAATTCCCATGATGACTGCAGTTATTCCCTCCGAGGCAGCAATGAACTCCAAGAAAGGTTCTTCGTCCCACCCACAAGAAGATACGGTGATGCAAGCGGCGGTGCTTTCATGGACACTGTCCAATTCGGATCCTATGATTTTGTATTTCGGGGTGAGAGCTTTTTGCTATACCTCGTTAGCGGTTACGACGGTCTCTACATGAAGATATCAAACAACTACATTCTCGTCCCTCCTCCAAACCCCGAGCAACAAATGAACACCTCAGAAAAAGCCCTCGCCCAAACCAAAACAGACACACTTATCCAAGCAGCTACAAAATGGCTCCAAGATCTACACCAAGAAGTCCTCGTCTTCAACGGAGGCTTCTGGCAAAAGTCCAAAGAACTCTGGTCCAACATCCAAACCGCCAACTGGGCCGACGTAATCCTAGCCCCCTCCAAGAAAGAATCCATCGTCTCCGACGTCCTAGGCTTCTTCTCTTCACGCGACCGCTACGCCGAATTCGGGGTCCCCTGGAAACGCGGCGTCATCTTCCACGGGCCGCCAGGAAATGGGAAAACCATCTCGACCAAGGCCCTGATGCATGATATGACGAAACGACTCGATCCGACCATTGAGAATTTGTATGTCAAGTCTTTTAACAGTTATGGCGGCCCGGAACGCGGGATAAGAGATGTGTTTTTGAAGGCGAGACAGATGGCTCCTTGTTTACTTATCTTTGAGGATATTGATTCGTTGGTTTCGCCTTTGACAAGGAGTTGCTTTTTGAATGAGGTTGATGGGTTGGAATCTAACCATGGGATCTTGATGATTGGGTCGACGAACCATCTGGAGCGTCTCGATCCGGGGATTTCAAAGAGACCTTCTAGGTTTGATAGGAAGTACTATTTTGGCAACCCGGATCGAGAGGAGCGAGTCCAGTACGCCGAGTACTGGCGCAATAAACTCGCCAAGAATGAGAAAATCGAGTTCCCCCACGAGATGTGTGGCAGGGTGGCGGATATCACGGATGAGTTCTCGTTCGCTTATATGAAGGAAGCGTTCGTCGCCGCGCTTCTCGTGATTGTTGCGAGAACCGAAGAGGAGGAGATGAGGAGACCTACACTTAGGGAAGTGGCAGAGCGAATGGAAGATGATTTGAACAAAAATGTTCTGTGGAGAGAGCTAAAGAAGCAAGTCAAGGCCCTGAGGGATGAAATGGAGGACGATAACAAGGAGGCGACTGGCACTGCTGATGAGACGAATTTGGGCATGGCTAGTGCTAGTCATTTCTGGCCTGCTATGAGTGGTGTTCTCGATGGACCTTTACCAACACAGCCTTTGGAAATTGAAAATCGTGTCCAAGATGTGAGAGGAGGGAGGGCGGATCGTGTTTCTGCTGATCTTGTTATAGGAGGTCCACCGTTGTATGATATGCTACGGTACATGTAATGTAAAAGGTTTTCTGATAGGGATAAATTCGTTTTACATACACCTTATACTATCATCCTACCCACAAATAACAAAACAAAATAAGAGACATGGTCGTTACTCTGTACACACCTCTCTTAGAAATTAGAATAAAATTATTCCAAAAACGTCGTACGACTAAAATAGTTATATAAAGAGCTTGAATAATTGTTAACTCTTAATTTTCAATGCCCTAAGACAATCATCTTGCTCGTACCATAAGTTTAGTATAATAGAGTTTTATATAGTGTATACAAAGTAACGACCAGGTATCTTACTCCTGCGTTAAGCTATCGAAGCGCAGAAAGACCCTACCTTAAGAAAACTCTCTATATCTGGCGGATTTTGTGAGGTTATTTATTCTGTTTTCTTCTCTACTATCTGTTTCCTGGAAATTACTAGCAAGAATCTCGTACGAGCGGGTATAAATATACCATTAAACCTTATATCGACTATTATTCGTTAAAATAAAAAAGAGGGTTTAAAAAATCTTTGTATTATTCCTACTCTTGTACTAAAACAGAAAACACACACACCAACTAACCATATCAGACCGTAAAGGAAATCCTGGTTCTCCTTATGGGTAGCTAGCTATCTTATCCAACTAGTCTACAAACAGTAGAATAGTCTTGTCGCTTAATTCTCGTGTAGCTTTTGATATGAGAATGTTAAACTGTGGAACGAATGATCGAACTCGTAGAGATCCGGACGAAGCATTAGGTGGGATTTGGAAAGTTCAATGATTGGAGGGAGGTGCTATATCTAGATTATGTCGTGATTAATACTATATCGTTTTCCTCTCTTCAAGAGGCCTATAGAAACATACGCGAGGACCCCTACGATAGGTATCCTAGATTAAGTGGAAGCCCAAAATGTAAACAACAGTAGTAACCAGGAAAATACGCAAAGTTCTAAAAGTTCAGAGTCCTAAAATATGAAAATATAAAAAGGGGAAAGAATAATACATTCAAACGGTATAAGTCTTCAACCCCGACCACTAGCCCTAAATCTCTGTATATACTTTCTCTGTCAGAAATAACTACTAGCCGTACTCTTCTATGCTTTTCCCTATCCTCGGAGGGGAAAATAGTACCCCACTTAACTTTACTAGGTTGCCGAAACACTATTATCCTCACTAGGGCCTATTAGCTAAGAGTTTCCTGTCTTATTCGTGCTTGTAATAACTAGATTTGAAGTCGGGTAGGGGTTTATATAGTACAAGGTAAAGCAGGGTAGATATAGGATAAGCATGATTTTTTTTAGTTATAGAGGTGGAAATAGACAAGTAGCTTTGGAACGCTTCGAGTACTCGTACATTTGAAAAGTACATTGAATAGGGAGTTTAAGTTCGGATCGTTTATGCGAGTGAATCCTCACTTGTTCGTAATTAAAATAGTTAAATTGATTTAATAAGATCAGGAATTGTAACTCCTTCCTATTAATAGAACTATATAATATTATAGTACTATATAAGAGTAAGGATAAATCTAAACTACTCCAGTCGTCAAACCAACCAGTCACGATTTCCGTTGTTAGTCTGATATATATTTCCTCCCGCCGAATCTTCCAAACACGATACTTGAACAAATTTGGTACCCCGATTGTTTCTTCATAGGAGGTTTTTTTTTCGTAATATTCAGGTTTCGCTTAAGTAAGAGGAAGAGTAAGATCCATAGGACAAGTAATTTACTAAGTATCCTGGATAAAAAGCTTCTAGACTACTTTACTTAATATAGTTTCATGGTATAACAGCATCTCATATAGCTGCAGATCCATGTAATAGTATCCCTTCCTAATACTAGCAAAGAAGGGAGAATAGTGCTGTGAACTGAGATACTTAATAGCTTCTACCGTAGGATCTACTAAACAAAGTAAATAAGAGAGCAGAGAGCAGAAAACAAGACACAAAAACGTCTTTGAATTAGGTATTATCTGTAACGCTAGAAAAGGGTATCTTATCCATTCTATCTCGCTTCGCTATACTTTACTTTTCACATCATATCATAAAAACCCGTCCCTCAGTCTGCTTATTCGCCATATTCGCCATCGCACGAGCTCATTCATCATCCAGTATGCTACTAGCGAGTTGTCCAAAAAAGGGGACTTCACATCGATCGAGTGTCTCCGCTATTTCAAAGGTTAGCCCGAATCCATAAATCCGTATCCGTGACTCAAGATACCACATCATGCTTCAAAATCACTTTTCGCTTTCGCAGAGGAGGACAAAAGGGAGAGCAGAAAGGGGGAGAGAAACATACCATCCCGATACGCCCCGAAAGTCAGATACCCAATCAACAGCAAATCCACCGCAAACAGGATCCAAGACACCAGCGTCGACCACGAGAAGATCAGATGCACGACAAAGATAGCAGAGAAGAGGAGAGAAGATTGCCACGCATGGAACCTACACCTCATCAGCAACGAGTCCTGGGGTCAAGTTCCCACTAACCATAAATCCTCATCCAAATCCAAATCCAAAGTCAAAGAATGAGAATAGGAAGGGACCCAACAACTCACCTCACATAATCACTCTTCCTCTCCACCACCAGCAACAACACCCCCCCAGCAGGCGGGAGCAACAAATACGCCAAACAAGCCTCATAATCCAACCGAATCGGCAAACTCGTCTCAAACTCACCCAACCTCTCCATCCTCCCCCCCTCCAAATCATTCCCTCCTACCCCTCCCCATGCCAAACTCCCATTCCCATTCCCA